TCACCCAATCCTCAGAAGATCTGAATAAAACAAAAAGGCTGACCCTCTAGTGAGGAAGAGGGCCTTCCTCCTGCCTGCCTTAAGCTGGGACTGGATTTTTCCCTCCCTTCTGACTAAAGCCAAATCGTTGGCTCCTCCTGGGTCTCAAGCCTGCAGGTATTTGGACTGGAACTACACTCTCAGCTCTCCTGAGTCTCCAGCTTGCTGACTGCAGACCTCAGGATTCAGCAGCCTCCATAATCACATGAGCCGTTCCTTATAATGAATCTCTTAATACACACACATTCTATCGGTTCTGTGTCTCTGGAGAATCCTAATACGCCTACCTACTTAATATATCAAATGTCTAATAAAAGATGAAAAAGCATTTTAAAGTAATAATATATGATGATATCAATGACAAGACAAGATACATAGCTTGAGAGTCTAATTTAAAACCTTTCCAAACAGTCATTTCATAGCATGCATCAAAACTTTAAAACTGTCTAGTTTTCACCAGGTAATTTTATTCCCGATAAAGATATAGAGATGACATAATCAGAACTATAATCAAAGATTTTTGTGCTCAGGATATTGGTTGCAATAACATTTATGACAGAGTCAAACAGACAGCCATATGTCCAATATTAGGAGAATGATTAGCTAAATTATATCACTTTCAAAGGATGTGTTATCATGCAACTAATCCAAATATTTTAAACAATTACTCAGCAACATAGAAATGATCAGAATATAATGTCAAATTTTAAAGCGGTGAAAAACACAATATTATCTAGCTACCTAGACTAGAGAGAAAGGCTAAAATGTTCTTGGTAATTATTTCTGAGTGGAAAAACAGAGGGATACATTTTTCTGTATTTTCCATGTTTTCTAGAATCAGAATGTTATCTTTAAAATAAAAGAAATATAATACAAGTCTAATTAAACATTACCAAAAATTGTATTTAAAGAAAACCCTACTAAATGATAAATTAAGAATCTATGGACAATTATCAATGAAAACAGCTTTTAAAACAAATCTGTAAAAACTGTGAGAGCTTTGTATAATGTTATAAAAGAATCTTAACTTTTAAAAAATATATATAAAGGTAGAGACATGTTATGGATTGAACTGTGTCTTGCTAAAATTCCTATGCGGGAGCCTTGACACGCACGCAATGGGACTGTATTTGGAGACAGGGCATTTAGAGAGGTCATTAAGGGTACGTAAGGAGGTAAGGATGGGACTCTAATCCCGTATGACTGGGGTCCTATAAGAGGAAAAGACATCAGGGAAGTGAAATCACAGAGAAAAGGCCATGTGAGGACACAGCAAGAAGGTGGCTTTCTGGAAGCTACACAGGGAAGCTTCAGCAAACAAATCTGCCGACAGCTTGATCTTGGACTGCAAGCCTCCAGAGCTGTGAGAAAATTAATTTCTGTTTTTGAAGGCACCAGTGTATGGTATTTTGTTAAGGCAGCCCTAGCAGACTAACACAAAACATAATAAAGTGTTATTATAAGATATATTTGGTAAATATTTTTTGTTGTATAATTTATCTTTCCTAGGAAGAAGCAAACCAAGAAATAAAGAGTGAAAAATTTACTTCATACCACAGTGCCATGATATTGAAGGGACAAGAAATCATATTTCCAAAATAAAATGTTATTAGCTAGTACTATTACATGAGGAGTAGGAGTGGGAATCTGAGTACTACGGGTAGACTGAAATGCAGTTCTTGGGCTTACAGTGATTAATGTCTACCGAACAATGCTCCACAACACAATTCAGCATAACACAATGGAAAATATTTTAAATTGCTTTCACTTTGTTCTTAGTATCTCCTAGTCCTGAAAATGACATTATATGTGCATGTATGTAGTCTAACTTCTTGGAAAACCTATTAACATAACCAAAATTCAAATATATGCTCTAACTACAGACACTGAAGATGAAATCGAAAACTTCCATACAACTATCCAAGAAGAAATTGATCGACCACACACCAGAACAACACATGCTGATAAATAATAGGCGACTGGAACACAAAAGTAGGAAATAAAGCAGAATCAAATGTTGTTGAAAAATTTGGACTAGGAGTCAGAAATAAAGCAGGCATTTGTCCCTTGGATTTGTGCAAAGCCAATAACCTGTCCATCACAAGCACATGCTTCAAACAAGTGAACAGACGACTATACACATGAACATCACCAGATGGCCAATACAGAAATCAAACAGGCTATGTAATTGGAAGCAGGAGGGAGAGAAGCTGTATTCTCTTTGCCAAAACAAGACCAGGAGCAGACTGTGTGGTACTGACCACAAACTGTTAATAACAAACATTAGAGAAGAGCCAAAGAACAGCCCTAAAAGAATCATAGTGTCAAAACATAACATAAATAATATTCCTAAAGGATTTAAAGTCTATATAGAAAACAGACTTGCACTATTGAACTTAGTTGACCAAGAACCAGAAGAACTGTGGACTAAAACTAGGGATATTATCAGGGAAGAATGGGAAAAAAAACAATGCCAGAAGTAAAAAGGAAAGAAAAACAGCGATGGATGACAGAAGAAACACTAAAAATTGTTAGAGACAGATAAGAGGCAAAAGCAAAAGGTGACAAACGCAGGGTTAGAATTCAGATCTCACTTTTTCAATAACTATCACATAGAGATAAAGAGAACTATTACAGTAGTCAATAAAAGGAGATAGATGAGAACAACAGAGTGAAAATAAGAGATTGCTGCCAGAAGATTCGAGAAATAAAAAAGGAAATTCAAACCTAAACTAGGAAAGCTGAATGACCCACAAGGAAGCACATTATCTGACCAGGAGAAAATAAAGGGAGGGTGGAAACAGTCAGTACACTGAAAATCTATATAAGATAAGACAAAAGGATGACAGATACCTTTGAAGAAGATTCCTATGAAGAAAAACCTGTAATTCTAGAAAGTGAAGTGAAAGCTGCTTTGAAAGTGTGAGGAAGAAATAAATCATCAGGAGTAGATAGGATACCAATAGAATTATTTCAAGCCACAGATACTGAATCTGTCAAAGTCCTAACAAGAATATGTCAACAAATACGGAAAATGAAACAATGACCTTCGGATTGGAAGCATTCAATATACGTCCCAATCTTCAAGAAAAGACCTACCCAGGAGTGCAGTAGCTGTAGGACCACTGGTCTTAATTTCCCACGCAAGTAAAGCGACGCTCAAGGTGATGTAACAAAGCCTTCTACCTTATATGGAGCAAGAAATACCAGATGTTCAAGTCGGATTTAGAAAAGAAAGACTCAATTGAGATATAATTGCAAGCACTTGCTGGATACTAGAGTGTAAAGAATTTCAGAAGGTTACTCTGTATGTTTTCCAGACTACAGGGAAACCTTTGACTGCTTGGATCATAGAAAGCTATGGGCTGCTCTGAGAGAAATGGGCGTGTCTCAGCACTTGGCTGTCGTAATGCATAATCTGTATTGTGGATAGGAAACCACTGTCAGGACAGACTATGGAGAGACAGATGGTTTCCTATAGGCCAAGGTGTCAGAAAAGGGTGCATTTTATCTCCTTATTTGTTTAATCTGTTTGCAGAATGTATCACACACGGAACTGGACTAGACACAGAGGAAGGAGGAGTGAAAATTGGTGAGATATAGATATCAAATAACTTAAGATGTGTAGATGACACCATCATACTGGCAGAAAATAAGAAACAACTTCTGATGAAAGTGAAAGGAAAAAAAAAAGTGCCAAAGCAGGACTGCATTTGAAACTCAAGAAAACAAAAATCTTGACTACAGAAGAAATACACAATTTTAATGTGCACAATGAAGACATTGAAATTGTTAAAGATTTTGCCTACCTTGGTTCAGTCATCAATTCAAATGGAGGCTGCAGCCAGGAAATCAAGAGAAGGCTGATTTCCTGGGCAGCAATGGAAGAATTAGGAAAGATCACCAATAGCAAAGATGTGTTATTAGAGACCAAGGCTAAGATCATCCTCACCCTTGTGTTTCCAGTTACTATGTATGGATGTGAACGTTGGATGCTGAAGAAGGCTGATATTTCCTTTGAAATGTGGTATTGGAGGAGAGCTCTACAGATACCCTTGACCACCAGAAAGACAAACGAGTGAGTCCTAGAGCTAAATAAACCTGAAACATCACTGAAGACAAAAATAACAAAGCTAAAGCTGTTCTACTTCGGGCACATCATGAGAAGGCAGTTCTTTAGAAAAAGACAATAATGCTGATAAAAATGGAAGGCGGCAGTAGAAGGGGAAGACCAAATATGAGATGACTGACTCCATAGAAGGCACGAGTCTACAGGAGTTGAGTAGGGCTGTTGGACAGGAAATTGTGGACGTCACTATTCACAGTCTCACAAGGGGTCAAAGCTGACTCAACGACTCGTAACACACACACATATACAGAGGGTGTCAAAAAAATGTATACACATTTTAAGAAAGAAAAAATCTATTAAAATTGTAATATTCAGTAAATACAGATAACAAAAGATGAATACAAGTCACGTTAACTTCCGCAATTACAAGAGGTGCTCAAAGTGGTTACCATCAGCATCCAGACATTTCTGATTACAGTGAAGTACTGCTTGAGCAACGTTGATCAAAGTGTCCACTCGTATACATTTTTGTGGCACATTTTTTTGGCACCCCAGTATATATGTGTATACATATTACATACACATTCCTATAGACATATAACTCAGAAAGAAATTTCAGTCTTACAACAACTACTGGCAGTATACCTACAAAGGAGAAGACACTTCATTCAAGCATTACTTTATATCTTACTTTGCTGTTTTAATTTTCCTCTTTGAATTAACTTAACTCTCCCAATCTTTTGTTTAGCATCTATTAGATTAATCCATGAGTTTCTTTTTACCCAAAAGAAACTGTAGACATGTTTACCTTTTAGAATTTTCAACTACATTTCAGGGACCTATTCAAAAAACGGATCTTTTAGGTTTCAGACCAAAGTAAAATTTCAGTTACTGCTCAGATTTTTCAAAATTACCTTGTCTGGATCCATCTTTCCTCTGATAAATTCTTGCTTCCAAAACTGCAATGCCTGTTCCAATGTTAAACCAATGCCCTTCAGAAAGAGGCCATACTGCATCCGGCCTCCATGACGCAGATGGTGATTCTCCCGCAAGGCTTTGTGTAACTGACGCATGCAAGGTGGGAAGGATTTGGTAGAAAGCTACAAGAAAAAAAGAGTTTCAGTTATACGTTAGATTTATCAGGTTCCCCACAATATTTGTTGCAAATTCAATCTAATTGAAATAAAAACAAAAACTATAAGGATTACTGTGTTACTGTGATTACACATAAACCTTTTATTATTAATATTTTTATATTGATTACATGTTGAAATCATAAATATTTTGAGTATATTGGGTTAAATAAAATATTTTATTGAAATTTATTTCATTTATTTCTTTTTCTTTTTAAATGTTTAATAAAACTTTTTCTTTTGCGATAACTATAGATTCGCATGCAGTTGTAAGAAATAATACAAAGAGGTACTGTGAAATACCCAGTTTCCCCTAAAGGTAACATCTTGCAAAACTGTGGTATATGATCACATCCAAGAGACTGACACTGATATAATCCACTCATCTTAGATTTCCTCAGTTGCACTGAAGCGCTCATTTCTGTAGTGTATTTAGTGTTATGTAAATGTACCACGTGCCGGTTCATGCATCCACCACCACAGTCAGGACACAGAACAGTTCCATCACCACAGGATCCTTCATGGATCCCTTTTATAAACACCCCTACCTCCCGTCTGCACCCTGCCTCCTCTTTCCCTAGCCTTTGGCAATTATTAATCTGTTCTCTATAATTCTGTCATTTGAAGAGTGTCATATAAATAGAATCATATAGTATGTAATGTTTTGGGATTGGCTTTTTACTTAGTATAATTCCAACAGAATTCATCTAAGTTGGTGCAAGTATCAAGAGTTTGCTCCTTTTTTATTGCCGACCAATATTCCATGGTATGGACGAACAACAATTTGTTTAATGGTTCACTTGCTGAAGGAGATTTGGGTTGTTTCCAGTTTGGGGCTATTTCATATAAATGAATGCACAGGTTTTTGTGTGAACATAAAGATTTAATTTCCCTGGGATAAATGTTCAAAAGTACAATGACTGAATCACAGAGGAACTTTTAAAATAACTCCAAATACAACGTAGAACACACAAATAAGAAAAATCACTCTCAAAAGAAACATCCAAATAAATGTGTTCAAGAAATCAATAGTTAAAAGAAGAAAATTACAGGTCTTCCCTTTATCATCAAAGATAAAATATCATTGCCCACATTTAATTCAACATTTTCATTTATGATCTCAATTGCATTCTCTCTGACTCCCTCAAACACCCTCCTGCCAAAACTTCAGCTCTCACCCATCATGTATTTCCTGGCAAGCTCAACTTTACCTGAAGCAGGAGCAGGTCTCACTTTGTTTGAGGTTGGTGCCCCCTCTAGTGGCCACCGGTTTCGTCTTCCTTTCACTAGAACAACTTCTAAATTTTTCCATCCCTCTCCTAGTTGAGTCAGGTCCCTAGCCTCCCTCAGCAGACTGCTGGAAAACCTTCTATTTGTTCATTCTTGTTTCTTCAGACTATTACAAAATTATGTTTTTCTTAAATATTGTTCTAATTTGAAAACATCAATGAATATTCAACCTCCTTAGCATGAACATGCAAGGTTCCCTTTTCAATTATATGTAACAGAATATTTATTGGATGTTTTAGGAAACAAGAAGGTGAATAATTTCCGTCACTCAGTTAAGTGGGGAAAAAAAGAAACAGTCACTATTTTATTCACTATTATGTAAGTTAAACTCATATAATAAATTATATAATGAAGGTTCCAACAAGAACATAAATCAAGTGCCATGGAAACACAGTGACAGGGCGAGGTAAACAAGCCCAGTGGTTGTCATACCAACATGAACCCTTTGCTCCAGCCTGCTGGGCTAGTCCATGATCACACAGTCAGTCATGTTTTGGACTTGCTCACTTTTCTTACTCCTCTGGCCCCGCCTGCTATAATCTCCCACTCCCCATGCCATCTAGCCAAAGCCAAGCCATTCGTCAACACCTCGTTCAACTTCAGCTTCCTTTGACACAATGCCTTGAGTACTCTTTATTCATTCAACCACCAAATATTTATTGGATACTACCATGTGTATAGTTTTGGGCAACCACCAGTGAACAAAGATGTCAAACATCCTACCCTCAAAGAAGTTATATTCTAATGGGAGGAGATAAACAATACCCACAGACATAAATTAAAAAGATAACGTCTGATTCCAAAAGCACTGGAAATGAAATAGGGTAATGGGGTCGTGCATGCACAGGAGGGGAGTACATTAACTTGAGTGGCCAGGGAAGCTTCTCTGAGGAGACGTCACTGAAGCGAAGACGTAAATTTTAAATAGGATTCCACTCAAATGAAGATTCAGGAATACTGTGTCAGGTGAAGGACACTCCAGCAAAGGATCCTAAGAAGGAATGACCTTGGTGTATTCAAGAGATAGCAAGAAGGTCCACGTGGTTGGAGCACAGTGAGTGAGCCAGAACGGAGAAGACAAAATTGGAATGATGAGTACATATGGTACAGGCCATAGTAATGAGTTTGGATTTTAGTCTAAATGTGATGGAAACATGATAGAGGGTTTTGACCAGAAGATTCACATGATCTGATAAACAAAGTGAACTCTGGCTGTTGTGTAAGGAACAGATTATGCATAAGCAAGACTGGAAGCAGGAAGAATACTTAAAGACATTTTGGCAGTTGTCCAAAAAGTGGAAATGGGGTTTGGCCATAATGGGACAGAAAAATGACTGTGGATAGTGAACAGACCAGGAATGATAAGGCCACGGCATGGGATGAATTATCAACACGGATGTTGCAAAGGCAAAGAGCAATAACAGGAGCAGTGCTAGCGCCGAAGACAACGATCCGGGGCTGAAGTCATCAGGGAATGAGGGCAGGCGGGGGAGGCACCAGCAAGGAGAACCATCAGGTGGTATAACGTGATCACAAGGGCTTTAAAGGAGTTGGAATTCTGACACCAGAAGGCAGAGAACTGGCTTGGAAGTGGTAATGTGGACCAAGGAAGACACACCCCATACCTACACAGGGTGGAGAGGGGAAAGCAGCTTCTACTTAAAAAGGGCCACGGGGGAAACAGTGTCACTGAGGGAGCCAGATTTCAGTTAGAAGAGAAATTTAAAGGAAACACTTAGAGAAGAAATTGAGGACGTCCAGGGATCTGCTAATGACATGCTGTTGTGAGCATCAGGCAACACAGATACAGAGTTAGGGAGAGAGCCAGATAAAGGTCATCTGTATCACTTAGCACAGGACCTCAGTCACAGGCTCACAGATATGATCATCAAAGCACTTAGTGTACTTTGTCATTACATTGCTTATTTATTATTTACTATGTTGTCTACCTCCCTCAAGGAAGGTACATGAAAACAGAGGTATTTTCTGTTTTATTCACCTCTGTATCCACAGCACAGTGGCAGGGGAGTAATTGATGGGCTCAATATATTTCACTAGATAAATTAATGATTATACCTCTGTATCTTCCCAGGGTGTCCAGCCAAGTTCACATTTGCTAGTGAATGTGATAGAATTAGAAATAGAATTAACTTCCAACCCTTCACATAATATAAACACAAATCACAGGAAGTGTTAGAGATGAAATAATTGTTTAAGAAAAGTAAATGATGGGGCATCCTTGAGAAAAAAATTCAAATTAACTGTATAAGGTAGGCAATCCTATTGTTATCTCTAGACATATTAACTGCAAGTATTGATAATACTTTTTCCAATAATTAAGACTTTCATTCTGGTCTCTAAAAAACTCATGGTCCCTCCCTATTCACCGTATTATATTCATAATTCTTGTTCCCAAGCGTTAAAATCTTGGTATATTTTCAATTTCTTGTGAATAATTTGGTAACTGTCTAAACAAATGTTATTTATATCTGGTTTATTTTCCCTTTTGTAGATAGAGTGGAAATTCAATTATGTATTAAAGAGAAATCCTACAGATTATATTGAATTATGCTACTCTTTCATTCTACTATGAAACCACAAAATGAAGCTAAAATGAGCTGTATAGTAATCTAGTGGCAACCCAAGGATGGGAGCCTATACTTAGTATTATAGAATGAACTGCATCCTCCCAAAATTCATAATGTTAAAGTCTTAACGCCCAGTACCTCAAAATGAGACTGTATTTGGAGATGGGGCCTTTAAGAGGTAATTGAGGTTAAATGAGGGTGGAGCCCTGTCCAATTTCTAAGAAGAGGAAGAGACACCAGGGATGAGCTCACAGTTAAAAAACCCTGTGAGGACACAAGCGACAAGGTGGCCATCTAGAATCCAAGAACAGAGGCCTCAAAAGAAATCAAACTTGCTGACACCTTGATCCTGGAATTCTATCCTCCACAACTATGAGAAAATAAGTTTCTGTTGTTTCAGGAGCCTAGTCTGTGTTATTTTGTTACAATAGCCCTAGCAAACCGATACACTTAGTATTTTCTATTTCTCCTTTTTAAAATGCATATGATGTTTAAATAGGAACACATAAACACCATCTTGGTATCATCAGTTAAAAGAATTCCTCTTTGGAATAATCGATTAAATCCTGTTTTTATCAGAATATGATTTTCTGATTAATTCTGGTGTTCCAATGATTAAATACACACACACACACACACACACACACAAACACACACACACACACACACACACACACACACACACATGTATAGCACATGGGATTTCCTTTAAAAATGATTAGCAAGCAATTATGAAATAATATTCTCTCCCAATCTTCCCACCCAAAAATAAAAATCTTTAGTTAAAGAAAACCTGTGCTTCCTCCATTGACAAAGTTCTAAATTTAAAAGGATGGGATGCTTACCGAATCGATCTGATCTAAGGAAATCTTCCCAACATTTCCCTGTGTGCTGTAATCTTGACCGGTGTAGGAATGACTAAAAATAAAAAGACCAAATATTAAAACAGGATTTGTAAAACCCTTTGGGTCACATCAAAGAAAATTTTTTACACTGATACAGTCAGAATGAGAAAACATTTTACACATAAACCTTAGCAGAAACATGGCCAAGTATTTTGAAGGTATTTAATAGAGTACATTTAAGTAACTTACCCCCCAAACAGTATACAAATATAGTGACAGCCTAGCTCTCCCTCATTCCTAGTCTAGCATGCCACTTCCATTTTTCTTAGAAACATAATGCAAATTGCTGTTAAAGTTCAAATCTCTACTACTGATCCTGCATTAACAGCATGACAACACAGCAAAAAGAAACTGGAGCTTAAAACCAGGAGCCATCACTTGCTAGTGGTTAAGTCCTTGACAAGTTACTTAGACGCTCAGGTTCCTGATCTATCAAATGGAGATGATAATGCCTGCTTTGCAGTGTTGATAGGAGATCTGAATTGAAATAACTTTCCTTAAAGTATAGCGTAAGGAATATAGTCAATAACACTGCAATAACTATGTATGGTGTCAGATGGATGCTAGACTCATGGGGCGATCACTTCATAAGGTAAATAAATGTCAAATCACTATGTTGTACACCTGAAACTAATATAATATTGTATGTCAATTATAACTGAAAAACAAAAAAATTACTGAAAAAACACCTGGCATATAGTAATTACTATTTATTAAAACAAATAACACCTGAACAGCACTTTATGTGTGCCAAGAATCCTTATCTATACCCTCTAATTACATCCTCATAACCCTGAGAGAGCATTTGTATTCTACATTTAACAAATGAGGAACCAGAGGCTCAGAGGGCTTAGAAGGTTGTTACTCAGGAAGCAAGTCAGCAGTGCAGTAAGGAACTCAAACCTTTAGACTCCCAGTCCCCTGTTTCTTCACATACCATGCCATCCTCTTCCCTGTAATAGATTTTCCTGTGGTATTATTTATAAATTAGGATTTTTAACTTGGTATATACTACCTAAAGACTTTGTTATTGCTTATCTCCTTGACACATCACCATACCCATGCTCAACTCCATAAACACTGAGTCAGATGCAGACATTCACATATGACATAGTGAAAAACAGCTGCTCGATTACATAGAAAACCACAATCAAACCATGATTTATGCAGACTCTATAACTAAAGGGAAATCTAGAATAAAGCAGTCACTATGATCATAACGAATTCCAGATTTGGGGCGGCCGGTTAGCTCAGTTGGTTAGAGCGCAGTGCTCATAACACCAAGGTTGCCGGTTTGATCCCCACATGGGCCACTGAGCTGCGCCCTCCACAACTATTATAGATTGAAATGGCTACTTGACTTGGAGCTGATGGTCCTGGAAAAACACACTATTCCCCAATTTAAAAAACAACAACAACAACAAAAAGAATTCCAGACTTTCTACTTCCTACTTGTTCAGTAACGATTCTTGCTGCTGAACAATATACACATTCAAGATGCTCTGTAGAAAGGCTGTTGTTCCTACAACCAATACAATGAGTATGGATTATCAAGCAAAACTACAGTATGGCTTGGGATGCTGCAACCACTGGCTAGGAGACTGTTAGAAGTGTAGATTTCCCCTACCTACAGTTCTCCTTCCATGGGCCAAGAATGGCCTGAGAGTAGGCTGAGCGGAATGCCAAGGAGTGAAACAGAATGACCCCATACTCTAAAACATATATCTTCTTGCCTCTGGTGTTATTTATCCCTTGAGTAACAAATTTGTGACCATTAATGTATCACTGGATTCTATCCAGTACTTTAATCATAATAGTACCATGGCACATAAAAACTCATGCTAAGTTAAACCAACAGTTGCCATTTAATTTTAACATTTTATATTTTAATACAGAGCATGACCAGATCATTGTTTCAGTAGAATCCCAAAAGTAAAAAATGTATTTTCGCTTTCCAAAATAACTTACAGTGGAGCACAGAGCCAGCATAGGGCAGTGGAAAGAGCAGCAGGCTGGGGGTATGAACGCTTCTTGTTTTTGTTTCCTAAATCACTCGTTGGCAAACTGGGGTGAGTCACTTAACCGTCCTGATGTGCACTATCCTTCTTCGTAAAATGGCATTAATAATACCAGGCTTGCCTAACTGCCAGAAACGCTGACAAATTAAATAATATATTCAAAGTACCAATTAAAATCAGTAAATCATATTCCAATACACGGAGCAATTGCCATCTTGACCAGTAAGTACAGAGAAAACAGGATGGGAAGGGGAGGAAGCATGATCCTATTAGAGGAACCACCGCTCAGATGGGGGGTACCAGGCCACTCACTCCAGTGACCCCTATAAGCTTCAGCTTCTTAGCCTAGAAAGTGATTGTAATCATCTAGCAGGACTGTTCAGATCAATTAGGTTAACAAATACAAAAGTCCTCTATAAATGGTAAAAGGATGTACAAACATGATTGTAATTGTTGAGTAAACAGCCAAATGGTTAATATACCACAAGGAAGCTTTCCTCAACCCAGATTCATGTGGTATACTAAGTACAAAAAGAAGATATATGACAAGGACATACACGTGCTAGAATGGCAGTAGACGAGACTGGTTCCTCAACACTTTGATAGCATATGCAAAGGGGCTAAACGCCAAGGAAAAAAAGGAAAAAGAAAGAGAACGGTAGCAATGATTAATGCAAAGACGTTATTGGGCATAAATAACTGCAGAAAGAATATAAGGAATTTATATAGATATCATACTTCTAAAAACATTATTAATAGACAGGAAGATGGCCACCAGCCAACCCAGCAAGGGCAAGTGTGGAACCTTGGGGAGGAAAAATGACAGAAATGAAGATATTCAGCATCAGAATCAGGAATGAGATTTCTCTTCTACTCATGATCAGAAGGGATAGCTTATGTCTTAGTTACAGGAGTTGGTACATCACAGTTATTTGATAACACATTTGAACTATTGGGTTGTGGGAAAAGTCATGACGTATTTTTTTCTATTGTTTTTGTTGCAAAAATGCATCATGACTTTTCCAACAACCCAATAATTATGAGTAGATAAAATTTAGGTGGGGTGAATTTTGGGATGTAACACTAGAAAGGCAGGTCATGAGAAGTACCGTATCCAATACTCTGCAGGCAACAAAGAACCATGAAAGGATTTTAGGCAAGAATTCACATAACCAGGTCTATACTTGAAAAAGAGAGCAGAATGCAGGAATGACCAGAAAGGGGAGAGGCTGGGCAATAGAAAACCAGTTGGAAGAATACTGCAATATTCCACACGAGAAGGTGGAAGCCTCCAGTAAAGTAATGGCAATAGATGGAGAAAGGAAGGCAATCAAGGTAGGAAAAAAGGGGGGACAAGTGTGCTGCCATAAAAGAACAAAAATCCTTAAGAACAATTCACATTAGCTCATGAAACTGGATTTGGGTTTTATTGGGAAGTGCCGAAAGATATCAATCAATAAATGAGATTCGAAACAAGTACCCAACAAAGTGAGGCACCTTTCTACCACATTCCGAATGCAGCGCCAGCTTTATATCACACTGCTTCCAAATGAGTGCAGCTGCGACACTAGTGAAGTATCAAAATATGTTCTTATATTCATGATTAAAAAAAAGATCAGTTTTACAAATGAACACTTATTATTTACATTGGGGAAACACAGAAATAGTAGTAGTAATTTTTAACAGCGAAAACATTTTTAATTGGTTCAAGATACACAAATATAGATATATAGATATGTAAACATAAAACCAGCAGATAATACTGTTTTCTGTCCATTTTATATAATTATGGCTTTATTTTGAGAAACACTCACTGTCACTTATGTACAGTTTTTAAACAAGGGGGATTCAGGAGACGTAAAAGTTTTCCTGCTTCTAACCTTTCATAAAAGAATAAATTGAGATGTAACACAATTGCCATTTTTTTCAATACAGCAGACCAACAAATATTTTAATGGGCCACAAAATTCAAATTATGTCAGTAATCATTATTTTGCCAAATACAAAGATGAACATTTGATTAATTAATCAGAGAATCTTGAAAAATCAAGATTTCTTTAATTCTCAGCTTAGCCACTAATTTGCCACGAGTGAAAATGAAAAAAGGCAAGTCAAACTCTGCATCGATTTGTTCATCCATAAGTATGAGTGGTAAGGGATTGCAGTGATATAATTGCATTCTCCATGCATAATTGTACCTTTTATTTGCTAGAGTATCAAGTAAAAGGCACTAACAGTGAATGTTATATAGAGTTTTCTCAAGTGATCAAAAAGCCCGAAAAGTAGTGAAAACAATAAAGACGTGGTTCTGTGAGTATCCAATTACATTAGAACACACTCTGAAAATAGCAGGTTATAAAAGGATTTAGTGTACTCTAAAATGTAACAATTACTACATTGTATTGGAAAATAAACACCTTCACTAACCCAAACAAGAACCACTTAAGTGCATAAAACCCAGTACAAACTTTATTTTTTTAAAAGCCATTAGCTTGTCAGACTTTCTATAACAGATTTTTTTTTCCACATCCCAGTTGTCTGTATTTGGATATAACAAATTCTAATTTCCAAGAAAACAGTAACAACAAAACCAACCCAAATCCATTTAAGAGTCCCTGTATTGCCTATGAATCACTCCTTATACACTCATTAAGCACCTCTGAGACCAAGGAAGAGGCACAAAGCAGCAAAGAATCAAGAGATGATGCAAGAGAAGCACAATGGGATGGGAGCCACAACAACGCTCAAATGTTCCCCCAGCCCACAGAGAACAGGTCTGTTCTTAAAGAAGGGCGGGGGAACTTAAGCAGTGTGTGGCGTTAAAGGTTCTAAGGCAATGAAATGGCACCCCAATAGAGAGTTACATGCTTTAGAAACAGACCACAGGATTCTAAAACGTTACCACAATGTTGTCGAAATGCCAGAGTCCAGGCTGAGTAGAAAAGCCTGTTAAACCAGAAAGGAGAGATGGGTCAGGTGGTGGACAAGCCCAGAA